GGCACAACCCCTGTCTCCCCTACAGCTTCCAACTCTTCCTTAGGCCCGTCCACTTTCACCTCTGGGGGCAGGGGCCGGCCCAAACCCGGATCCACATTCAGCTCTTCTGATTTGAGGTTTGGGGCCTCTGGAGGGGTCAGGATGACCTGGGAGAGGAGCGGGCGCAGAAAGGGTGCTTAAGGATGGTTGGGGTAGAGAGGGTTTCTCCTGTGGGCCACTCAATGATTTCCCTGGGAAGGCAGGACTTGGTCCTGGAGGAATGACTGCACCTCTGGGCAGATCCTCTAACAGAGCATGGGACTTCTTCAAGGGAGTAAGGCTTCCTCTGGGGCAGGTCCCCCTGTGGGGTAGGAGGCCCAGGGTGAGACAGCCTAATGGGGGCCAGACTGCGAGGGATAACCACCCTCATTTCATTACCACAGTGGGTCTCAAAAATTTCCTTTACAGACCAGCAGCATCTGCCTCATTTGGAAACTCTTTTAACAACACAATTCTTGGACTCCTCCCCAGACCCACATAATCAGAAATCTGGGGGTGGACCTCAGCAATCTTTGGTTTAATTAGCCCCCCAGGTGATTCTGGTGCCATAAAGTGAGAAGCAGCACATTAAACAAATCTGTTCGGGGTACCTACATGTTGGGTTAACTACTGACTGTAGCACGCGTACTCTCCCCCTTCTCAGGATTTACATAGCTCTCCTCCCCACGCTGTTCTCCAAGGGAACTTCTGCGTCTTGCCTTCCACCATCATCTCCTTTAATAGGATTTCTGTCTCTTCTCCTACCAGCCCCCCTCATTTGGGAATTGGACATCCCTCCTCTTCCTGAATTTATATATTCCAGTCCTTACCTGCAGAGGCAGGCCGGCCTCCTCAGCCTCCAGGCAGGCCTCCAAAGGGTTTGGACTGGTGCTCCTGCTCCCTGAGGGGGGCACTGCTGCTCCTGCAGGGGCAGTATTGGGGAGCACCGAGGCAGGCCGAGGATGAGGGGGTGGCTGTGGCTGTGGCTGCAGGGACTGGATAGTGAAGGTGGAATAGAGACCCGAGCGCATGTACTCATTCCGGCTGCTGCGTGCCAAACCACCTGGGCCTGCCAATCCTGCACCCTTGGGTGTGCTTGGCTTTCCGGAGGCAGTGTCCCCAGGGGCAGCATGTACAGCAGCAGGGGTCACATTTGCCACGGCAGAAGCAACAGACACCTCGGGCTGGGGCGGGCAATCCTCAGTGGAGCACCCTGCGACCTCTGGGTAGGACACAAATTTGTAGACGAACTTCTGGCCGCTCACCTTGCGGATGATATTCTGTGACGGGAGGAGACAGAACAGAGGGCTTTAGAGGAAAGGAGTAGGGTGTAAGGGAGGTGGTTGATGGGGAATAAGGGGATAGAGGGATGTTTCTTTTCTCCTAATATCTTTCTTCCCACTTACCCACTCCTGTCTTTTTACATATATCTTTTCCTTTCTCTGTATGTTTCCCCTACCAGCCCATTTCACATTTTACTCATATCCTCAATTTGTGGGCTTCTCCCCTCTGTGCCGATCTTTACCTCTCCCTCTCTCCTCCCCAGATCACCCTCTAGGTATCTCTCCCCAGTTTCTTCCCATTTCTATCCTATGCTCCATAATTCTTTCTTTAGTCTACTGCTCCTCTCTCCTTGTCACTCTTGATGTCTGTAGGTCTGATCTCCCTACTTTCACTGGTTCCTCTTCACAAATGGGCTCATATGGGGAAGCAGGTGCAGGAAGTTTTCCTCCTAGCTCCAACAACTAAAGGTTAATAGGGTCAGGCTTTGAGGATGGCTCCCAGGACATGGTTTTGGAGACTAGCTAATGCAATAAGACAGGAAAATGAAGTAGCTGATATAAATACTGGAAGAGACTAAATTATTGTAGACAAAGTGGTGATGAATTATTCCTATGGAGGATTTTCTGAAGCTATTGACAGAAGTGGAACAGGGCAAGATCACTAGAGGACAGGGTGAAGAGGCTTCATTACTAAAGCTGTTATGGTGGTTTAAGCTAAAGCATAAGAAAATAAAGTAACTGGGACCAGCAGATGGCCTAATGGTTATGTTGCTAGACTCCCACATAATTGACCACAGTTTTTGAGTCCTGGACCCAGCGACTTGAAATTCATGCAGGGTGCATGTGTGTATGTGCCCACAATCCCGAGAGGAGACTGGAGGAGAAGGGATTGCGGCATGGCCATCCCTCCCAGGGAGTGATTTCTTGCTTTCTATCTCTCTGTCTCTTGGGTGAGTGCATGTGCCCTGTAGCAAAACCTCTTTAAAAAAAAAAGAAAAGGAAATAAAATAACTGACAGCAATTAGATACTGAGATGCTGATACATATAGGGGTCAGAAAGTGACATGGTGGTTAAGGTGCCAGACTTCCATATGGCTGATCATAGTTCAAGTCCTGGACCCAGTGGCTAGAAAATCACAACGTGCTTATATGTGTACATATAATATGAGAGGAGACTGGAGAAGAAGGGATCGTGGTGTGGCCATCCTCCTGCGGAGTGATTTCTCACAATCTTTGTTCACTGTCTATGGCAGTGCAAACATTCTATGGAAATCCCCCATCCCCCCCAAAAAATGCTGGTATAAATATCCAGGGTGGTGGGGGAGGGGGTGTGGAGTACAAGGCTGGCTTGGGTGGGTCACAGAACATGCCAGGGTATTTCAGGACAGGTCTGGTCTGGAGGGTCTCAGGGATGTTTGGTCTAAGAGGGCAGAGAGTAAGGTAGCCTTATTATGAATATTGTTTTGGCGGTTAAAGGTAAAGGAATAGAATATAAAAATGGAATAAATGCCATAAATTATTAAGGGTGTACAGCACAAGAGTCGGGCTGCTGGGGGGCAAAGACTCTGAAGGGTAGTAAGGCATTCTGGAGAGGTCTTAATGATGCCTAGGCATGTCACATGGTGGGTTTGCATTTCTAAGAGGAATGAAAAGGGATATTTACTAATACTGTTTTGGGGGTCTCAGCTAAAGAAATAAGAAAATGAAATAACTTGTCTAAATACTGGGTTTGGGGGAAGATCCAGTTGGTCTAAGTGGGTAGGATGAGGACAATTTTAAATTTTAGCTATAGGAATGTGGTGATGAAATAGGGGCCAGTAGGTGCTGTGGTGGTTAAGATGCTGGACTCTCACATGGCTAACCACAGTTCAAGTCCTGGACCTGGCAGCTGGAAAACCACACTAGGTGTATGTGCATGTGAGCCCAAAATTAAGAGAGGAAAATAGGATGGTGGTGTGGCAATCCCCCTGGGGGAGTGATTCCTCCCTTTCCCTGTCTTTCTCCAGTGATCTTATGCACCCCAATGGCAAGAGCCCTAAAAAAAAAAAAAGATAATGAAATAAAACAACTGATTTAAACATTGAGGTGCACCAGTGTTGCTCTGGGAATCCAAGAGGATGGGGTGTGGAGCTGGCATTATACACGCTGTTTAGAGGTTTTAGCTAAAGGAAAAAGAGAAGAAAAGGAAATAATTGATTAAAAATATTGGGGATCCCAGAGGATAGGTTTATATTGGGTCATCGGAAAAGTCATGACATATTTTTTCTATGCAAAAATGTGTCGTGGCTTTTCCGACAACCCAATATAATAGTGCCAGGGATATTTTTGATCCTAGGAATAAGAATATGAAATATTCTGGAATAAGACAAGATTATGAAATAACTGGAGGAACTCGGCACTGGTCCAGGGGTTCCAGAGGGCACAATGAGGGCTGGTCATTATTAATAGTCTTTTTAAAGTTTTGACTATAGGAATAAGACATGAAAATGAAATGTTGTGTAGGGTATGGTAGGACAGCACTGTTTTAGAAATTTCAGAGAGTAGGGTGAGGAAGAGTTAGTATTAATACTGCAATGAAGGTTTTAGCCAAAGTAGTAAGACAAGAAAATGAGATAAATGTTTTGGGGCCCAACATTGGTCTGGGAATGGGTTAAGAAATAGAAATTTTAATACTGTTTTCAAATGTACAGCTATTGCAATTAAGACAGGAAAATGAAATTTCTGATATAAATGTTGGGGGGGGGCATCCCAGTCCTGGTTTTGGAGGCCATACCTTGTCATAGTAGTACCGCAAGGCCCGGCTGAGCTTGTCATAATTCATGTTGGTCTTGTTCTTGCGTAGCCCCCACAGCCGGGCCACCTCCTCTGCATCCACCAGCTTGAACTCACCACCATCCCGTGAAGTCCAGGAGATGATGTGGCCGTTCCCTTGCTCTCTCAGTAGCTGCAGCAGAAACTGCCACAGCGTCACAGAAGGGTCCATCGCTGGGGGAGCGCTCACGCCATCCCAGGGGTACCTGGAGGGCAGACAGCTCAGAGCTGAGAAGCTGTGGACACAGGAGGGTATAGAGGTTGGTGGGAAGAGGATTCCTTTCTTGTCGTCTTGCCTCCACCTCTGTCCCCAAACCCCACTATCATTCCCTAAACATCCTCAGACTAACTTCTAGGCTCCCAAGTCTGGCTTTGGATGCCCCCTATAATGGGATGAAACCTTGAGGATTTTAGGATGATGTGAACATACTTTTATTTTTTTGGAAGTTTTTGCTACAGGGCGTGTGTACTCTTCAGAAAGACAGAGAGAGACAGAGAGACAGAAAGTGAGAAATCACCCCCTGGGGTGATGGCCACACTGCAATCTCTTCTCCTCCATTCTCCTCTCAGGATCTTGGGCACACATGTACACAAGCCCGGTATGAGTTTAAGCCACCGAGTCCGGGACTCAAACTGCAGTTGACTACATGAGAGCCCAGCAACATAGCCATTACGCCAAGTGCAGGTCTCAATGTGAATGTATTTTACCTGTAGGACAAAAGTGAATCTTTGGAACCAGAGGGCAGACTGTGATAGGCAGAATCATGCCAGTTCTTCCCCCAAAGATGTACATGTCCCAATCCCTGGAACCTCTGAGTATGCTATGCTACACAGCAAAAGGGAATTTTGTAGATGAAATTAAGGTTACAGATCTAAAGATATGGTGATTGCTCTGTATTGTTTGAATGAGCTCAGTCTAACCATAGGAGCTTTCCTCCTTATGTGTCTCTATCTCTTGTGGAGGGGCAGAAGAGGAAGGGAGGAAAGGAGAGAGAGAGGGAGGAAGAGGCAGGCAAGCAGGCAGCCCCAAAAGAGTCTTCACGTTTCGATCTACCCTGGTCTCAATTGGCCCTGGTCGAGGACACATGTGTACACATGGCGTGCTCAGGGAAATCCTGGGTTGTAAATCCAGAACCTTCTACATGTGGGTCTTGTTGTATTATCACTGTACCACTGCGTAGTCCCTATATGAGCTCTTCAAAGCAGAAGAGGGATGCAGAAATTTAGTTCAGAGATACTGATGACAGAAGAGGCAAGAGGGATTCCAAGTGTGAGAGGGACTCAACCTGGCATTGCTGGCTTTGAAGATGGAGGAAAGGAATTCCTAGCTAAGGAATACGAACAGCCTCTCCTCCTCACCCCAAATTTGTTTATTGTTTATGAGGGAGAGAGAGAGAGAGAGAGAGAGTAAAGCGAGAAACACACATACACAGCATCCCCAGGGTCCTGAGGCTGTGATCTACCTCTGCCCTCAGCCAGTCCTGAATCATGGGCACACACATGTCTGGTGTACTCAGGGAAGACTCTAGACTTGAACTGGGAATCTTATTGAACTGGGAGACTGCTTCACAGAGCATCGTGTTTTACTATTGTGCCACTGTCTGGCCCCAGCAACCTCTTAAAGCTAGGAATGACCCTCAACTGATAGTCATTAAGGAAATAAAGACCAGTCCTATCAGTACAAGGAACCAAATTGTGCCAACAGCCTGAGTGAGCAGGAACTGGATTCTTTTCTACAACCTCTAGAAAGGAACTCAGACTTGTTTACACTGTGATTTTACCCTGGTGAGACCACAGTGTTGGGCTTCTGATCTATGAAACTGCAAGGTGTTAAGTGGCTAATTGTATTTTATTACATTTGAAATAGAAAACAAGTGCATTGGTGGTGTAGTACTTAAGGTGCTGGACTCCCACGTGGTTGACTGCAGTTTGAGTCCTGGACACAGCAGCTTGTAACTCATGCTTGGTGCATGTACACGAATGTCCAAAATCCTGAGAGGAGAATGGAGAAGGGACTGCAGTGTGGCCATCCTCCCTGGGGGATGGCTTCTCACTTTCTGTCCTCCGGTGAATGTACAATAGCAAAAATCTCTCTCTCTCTCTCTCTCAAAAACAAAACAAAACAAGGGCATCTCCCTCATTTGAACATTATCCATCTGTATCTTCTATCATATCGGTGTCAAGCTTCTCAGGAGATTCCTTTTGCCAGACCCTTGCAAAGGCTGTTCACTCTATGTGGAGCTCTTTCCTCCTGCCTAGCAGTCTTCCTCATCCCTCAAGTCTCAGCTCAAAGGCCCTTTTCTTTACGAAACCTTCCTGTAACTGAATGCCCACTATTTTCTGTCCCTCTACTCCCTACTCCTCTAACCTGTTAGCATCTTTGTATGTTCTTCTTTTCTTTTTTTCTTTTTTTTGGAAGAAGTTTTTGCTATAGGGCATGTGTGCTCGCCAGACAGAGAGAGACAGAGAGACAGAAAGCGAGAAATCACTCCCCAGGGGGGATGGCCACGCCGCAATCCCTTCTCCTCCATTCTCCTCTCGGGATCTTGGGCACGTACGCACATGCGCCGGCGTGAGTTTTAAGCCACCCTGTCCGGGACACGAACCACGGACAACTACATGCGAGTCCAGCGACATAGCCATTATGCTAACTGCTGGTCCCTCCTGTTCTTCTTTTCTTAAAGTTTACCTATTCTTATTTGAGAGAGAAACGCTCAACCGGGTTTGGTCATGTCGTAATCCCCCTTCTCCAGCCCTCAAGCCCCTCAGGATCCTCGGTACATGCCACATGCACTTGACGTGTTCTCAGGCCAACCACGTGGCTCCCACCACTGCTACCAACTGTGCCACCAGGCTGGGCCTGTTTTCGTTCTTGATAACAGAAATAACTAATATTTACCGTGCGGTTAACCCATGCCAGGCACTATTCTAAACAGAGAGGCAATATGGCCTATTAAATCATCCAGGTTCTTGAGTCAGACTGCTTGGGTTTGAATCCTGGTTTGCCACTTTATTACCTGTGTGACCCTGGGCATATTCTTTAACCTCTCGGTACCTCAATTTTCTCATCTGTAAACCAGAGATAATGACATGCCCATTGGTAAAACAAGGATAATAATTATACTTCATTCCTAAGGTTATTATGTGGATTAAACATAAAATGCCTAGAGTATGATAAGCTCTAAATAAATATTAGTTTCTGATTTTTTTATAATTTCTTATCAGCTATTTCAAAATCCACAAAGCTCTATAAACAGAAAGCTTCTTTGTAACTCTTTTGGCAGCAAAACCAGATTTGAAATGAAACAAGGCACTTTCTGGTCTTAATTGAGCCTCGCTTAATTGTGTGAATGTACATACATTTTGCTGCAGAAATATGAACGTAGCTGATTATAGAGCTTGCTTACTAAGGGTGTTATGTAACATATTGTATGTGCACCAATGTTACCTTTCTAAAATCTGAAAAAAAGGAAATTCTGTAACATTTCTGGCCCCCAGGGGTTTTGGATTAGGGCATGTAGACCTGTAGTGCTATTTTTACAGGTACTGACTCATTTATCACTTGTAATAACTCTAGGATGTAGGTACTCTTGTTATTACTGATTTATAGATGAGGAAGCCAAGGTACAAAATGTCTTCCACAGACCACCCGGCTAGAAGTGACAGAGCCAGCATTGGGACCTAAGCAGTCAGGTTCCAGCAAAGCTTTTTACCGTCATTGTTATTTATTTTCTCTCATGAATGAGAGACAGAGAAAGAGAGAAAGGGAGATAAAGCACCCCCAACAGGGTCTTGATACTGCAATCCACCCCCAGCTTCAGCCAGCCCTGGGTCATGGGCCCCTGTGTGCCTGGAGTATTTAAGAAGGTCTCTGGGAGCAAACTTGAACCTTCTCATGTGGGCCAGCCTTGCAGGACATTGAGTTTTAATACTGTACCACTGGGTCTGGCAGGTAGCATGGTGGTTAAGGGCGCTGGACTCCCATACGGCTGACCATAAGTCAAGCCCTGGACCTGGCTGTTGCTTTCTCACTTTCCCTCTCTCTTGCTGTCCCTCTCAGGTCAAATTAAAAGTAAGTCAATAAAGGAAAATAAAATAATTATTTAAAAAAGATACTGTATCGGGACCGGCAGTTGGTGTAATGGCTATGTCGCTGGACTCCCATGTAGTCGACTGCGTTCAAGTCCTGGACCCAGTGGCTTAGACTCACACTGGGCGCATGTCCATGCATGCCCAAGATCCTCAGAGAAGGGAGGAGAAGGGATTGCAGCGTGGCCATCCCCCATCTTTCTCCCTTTTTGTCTCTCTGTTTGCCTCTATCGCCCTATAGCAAAAAGTCTCCAAAAAAAAAAAAAAATACTGTATCATCATCTAGCCCCCAGTTAGCTAAGCTTTTCTTAAAAAAAAAAAAAAAACTGTATCATCATCTGGCCCCCAGTTAGCTAAGCTTTTAACTGTTACCACTTACACTGACTGCTCCATCTCAGCATGTACATCAGGGAACAGGACCCTCCCTATTCTGAGGGACATGCTCTTTCCTGAGGCAAACTGGAAACAAACATGAGCTTCCTATTCCTTCAGGGAATGAGCTTTCATCAATAACTGTTGACCTGGCTGTTATTATGGGATTCAGAACAAAATCTTCTAAATTGGATTTCAAAGAAGACCCTCCCTCTATTATTTAGACCTTGATTCTTTAATCTGCAATGAAATATACAGTATGATCCTTTTATGCCTGAGCTTGTTTGAAGTTCATTCAGAAGGCCCAGTTTTAGGTAACTATACAAGACCAGAAGCTGTGAAGTGTCAAGTTAGAGTCCTGTCATTGGAGGCCAGTGTATTTCAGAGGCCCAAAGAGTTCAGTGTGACTCCTGGTGGTGAAGGCAGGCAATGCTACCAGTTCCCCTCAGCTGCAACAGAACCTATCAGCTAAGTAGAATCTGACAGCTGGCTTCCAGCCTGAACAATACACAGGGTTTTGTGTTTTGTTGACTCCTCCCACTTGATCCCTAATAAGAGTTCTAGTAATCTGCCTTGTTCAGACATGTTTACTCATTTATTTAACAAGCATTTATTGAAAGCCTACAGTGGGCCTGCTGGGGGATACAGCTGTGAGAAAAACAGACAAAAATCCCTGCTCTTAGGGCCAGCAGCTGGTGTGGTGGTTGAGGCACTGGACTCCCACATGGTCGACTGAAGTTCGAGTTCTGGATCTGGCAACATTCTCTCTCTCTCT